AAACCACGCTCGAACTATCGGACCTCGAGCCAGCGCTCCTGGAGTGGCGAAACACTCCTCAGCGAGATGGGCTGTCGCCGGCGCAGAAATTTCTCTGTCGACAGACTCGATCTCTACTACCGCTCCAAGCGGCCGCTCTCCTTCCCAAAGTACCGAAACATGTTCAACAACACATAAGACAGCGGAGAGCGGAACAGAAAATTCAGCACGACAAAGGGGCCACGAATCTTCCACCGCTCCTAGTTGGAGACTCGGTTCGAATCCAACCCCTAAGTTTCGAGAAAACATGGGAGTCAGGAACAATAACTGAAGTTCTAAATCATCGAACGTATAACGTACGCCAGCGTAACGGCAACGTGGTCATCAGGAACCGACGCCTCCTGAGGAAAGTTCCGAATCAGATTTCAGGCAACGAAGTCATATCCAATCCGCGGACAACAAATCGAGAAGTCGCAGTCAAACCACTAACTTTCTGTATCCCATTCCCAAAGTTGCGGAAACGGAAAAACAAAGCAAATCAGAAAGAAAAGAATGCGACAGAAGAAAACGCACCCAAGTTCATCGCAGAAAGCTTCAACACCATCCGCGAACAAGAGAGCGAGAGCTCCGAATCAGCAACGGAGGAAAGCCCCAGTAGATCAAGAGAAGAAAACAACGCCGACGAATTCATGACAATCAGCGACCCAATCGAGACTATAGAGCAGGACGAGAACACAGTTGCAGATCACAGCATGGCTGAAATCACAGCCGGCCAACATGAGGAGTCCGAACCCATGGATCAGTACGACATCGAACATCGACCGACAACCAGCACGGGCAAGAGGAAAGATCTGCTGACGCCGGCAGCGACACCCGTCTCGATTAAGAAAATCAAGAAGGCGAAAACCCTCAATCAACCGATCACCACAAGGAGCGGCCGCGTTATAATAGCTCCAAGCAAATTAATGTTGTAAGAATGACACGTATCAAATCGTTCAAATATTCAGCAAGTTGTGGAACTAGTCGAATGTCAATCGTGCAATAATTCTATAGATTCAGTTGATAGAGGAGGAAAAGGTGGGAGATGTTGGAGATATAGTTTCTTGTAATATTGTGGTGTCTTCAGATTGACCGCCTTTCCCCCTCTCTTACGCCAGAGAGCATTCGTTGTCATCATAATAAAGCAGACAGAGTCTCTCAAGATCTCCAAGGAAGCTGACGTATTTCATGACGAACAGGTT